TTTCATGTTGTATCAACTTTAGGCATCCTATGTGGACTTTCTACTACGGTATCATATGACTTAGCCTACTTCCTTCACCCCCAGCTCCGTTCTACGCTTGTCCCCACATTACCCCAGCAAGTCGCTATTGTCCCATTGTCCCAACAGGTCACTGTGTCAGTGCATCTACTGATTACCTCGGCAACCTTTATTTTTTACTCTATCGATTACAGACAGCATCTCTCGCTCCCCCACTGCATGTGAGGAGGGCATTCACACCTCTTCCCCTACCCTGTGCATCTTAGTCCGCTTTGGTGGGTGTGCTAAGACGATAACAACACCCTACACAACAAAAAATTCTCAGCAACTCAGGCTAATTTCTCATTCCCGTACTACGTCCTGCTCTGCTCCTGGCGTCCTCTTACTGTTAGGGACCCAACTAAAGGGTGGCTCCCACCCAAGACCTGCTGCTCTCATGAGAGAAGCACAAGAACCATGGCAGAACTATGCCCCTTGAAGTGTCTGCTCAGGCATGGCTTACCTCACGTCCACTTACACTCAATTGGCCGAAGCAAATCCCACACCCAAACCTGACACCGAGGGGCAGGGCAGGAAGTACTCCCCGCCCACAGGGGGCGTGCCAAGCCATGGAGGACACTGAATAATTGGCAGCAGTACTTCAGTCTATCACAATTGCTTGCCCTTCTCTTGTCTTTTACGTGCCAGCTTCCTCAAGCTGTGCTTTTCATTTTGTACTGTCAAGGTGGAAAGTCTTTATGCCCTCCTTTATAGCTATTTTAAGTAGACTTCAGTGCTTTGCGTTCGGTTTTAGAAGTTGCAAAGCACTGAGCAGCCTTTATGTCTTTATGACTAAGCAAGTGTTCTTTGCTGCAGGGCCAAAGAGAACCTAAGAGCCCACAGTGTGCACCACTGGTCCAGCGACAGGACCCCGCACTTAAAAGAGCCTTTCTCACAGCCCACCACGTGCTCAAAATCAGGCCACATCTTCATTTGCTTCATATGACAGCCATGTCTTTCATGACAATTTTTTTTGGGGGGGGAGTTTCCAGAAGTTTCTGTTGACTTTTCTTTCCTTTGTTGGTAGAAGAAACAGGTGCCGCCTTCAGAATGTCCCTAAAATCTTCCCAATTTTCTCTCTGCTGTCTGGCTTCTTTCTATTCTTCTTTTTGAAGCCTACTGACCTTCTTTCTGGTCTCATTGGCCGGCTTCCTTCACTTTGGGATCCTAATGCATTTGCAGAACTTTCTGCCTTTAGCACAGTTCTTAATCTCCTTCTGTTTCTCTTGCTTGTGTTCTGCGTTCCATCACAACTTTGATTTCTCAAAATGCCACCCCCCACGCCGTCCTCAGACACCACTTTCCTAGAAACTACCCAACCCCCCCCCCAAACCTGGTCTAATGAAGACTAACTGCTCTCCAGGCTGGCGAACAGTTTTATCCTGGGGTTGCCTTCATGGATCGTCCTAAATTGGATATATTATTTCCTGGATCACTTATCTTCCATCTTGGTTTACACTGTTGTCTTGCTAAAATTCATCCTCAAATAACTTTCTTTAAAAGGTTGAGTAGGATATAGGCTTCCTCGGTCCTTCCCTGGATATAAACTGCCAGGTCCTGGCCTGCCTCACTTCTATACCAAATAAAGCTGCTGGACCAGATGATTTCTGATGCCTGTTCCTCGGGTATAATTCTAGTTCATATGTACTCACAAATGATATGCAATATCAAGGAGAAATTTTAAATGGTTGCTGCTCCGAAGGAACTTACAGATAAAGAATAAACTCTTGAAACAGTAACAGAAAGTCAACAATACAAAAAAAAAATGCCACCAGGGAGGACACAGGAAATATCAGAGTCGTAGGACTAGAGGAAAGAGAGAGAGAGGCTGAGCCAGCCTGTGGCGCTTTTGCTGGGGAAGCGAGGCTTTAGTTGAGTGTTATAAAGAGTAGGAGGTATATTAGGCATAGATTAAATAGTTATGAATATTCAGCAGTGGATGAATGGCCAACATTAGTCTGACGCAATGGTTGACGGGCCAATGGAAGCTCTCCTCCGTCCCACTTTCCCTGACACTATCGGAGTTATCAACATGTTCACTGCACCGAGTCAAGAAGATAGATACAGTTTTTAAACGTGAAAGTGTAATTTTACCCCTGACCAATAGACAAACTCTCTGGCCGACTGGGAGCATAGCAATGAACTTGCCTTGTGCATTTGAGTAACTGCATATCCTTGTATGTGCAAGCCCTACTTGTGGGCCTATGAAAGCACAGGCACTGTGGTCTTTAGCGGCAGAATAGGAACCGGGGGGACTCTCTTTACCATCATCCACTTTTAAAATTTGATTTTGTTCCAATGAGGAGTCAGAGAACATAAATCATGCCTGCTTCCCATCCACTCCCCAGGAGGGAAGGAAGCTTCAACAAGAGATTTTGGGGGCCAAAGGTCTGCCTGGTCTTCAGAGAATAGGGGTACAGTGAGGATGGGAAAAGCTTGGGGTCACGTGATGGGTCTTCCCTGCAAGGTCTGACCTAATACTACTTCCTCCGGGAGGTTTTCTCTGACCTCCAACCGAGGAAGAAATTAACTGTGGCTAAAACACTGTTCCCGCTACCATCACAGCATTTGTCAGATTTAAACAAAGTTCCCATCAATTGCTCTCAATAACCTGTGATGTCCTGGCTGATTTATTCATCATCACATCCCCAGTGCCTGGCATGTGGTAGGTGCTCTGAGTCTGTGCCGTGAATGAGTGAGTGGATGCAAAGTATCCGCATTTCCTCAAGGGGCAGAGCCAGACATGAATGTTGAGTTTTCACCGGAGCTTCAGACGAGCCAAGAGGACCCGGAGAGGTGCAGGGCGGGGTGAGGGGACTGCCTGCCAGTTTTGCCTGGGCTGGTGTGTTGTACAGGACCCCATGCAGGTCAAGGTGAGCCGAGAGACCAACAAATACACAGGAGAAAGGTCCAGAAAGGCATGTGCGTGTGCGCACACACACACACAGTGTCAGCTCTGCAGCAGGGTGAAGCGAAGAGGGATCCACCACCCCCAGAGCACGGGACCCCTGAGCGAGCTCCAAGTAATCTCATTCCACCCTCCCAGTAACCCAGAGAGACAGGCGTCCCCGCTTCACAGGTGACAGACGCTGCCAGGAATCAGGACCCCTGCAGTGCGGGGAGGGACAGAGGCCTGTGCACCAGGTCAACTCTACAATGACAACCAAGACAAAATGGGGGAAAAAAATGCATAGATTCAATCCCTGAAAATTCGTTAGTCCGTACACCCATGACTCACCTGTTTTATTTTTTCTGTAGTTTCCCTACTTTCTGGCTTCCCAGAAAGGTTTCTTACAAAAATCCTAAGGATTCTGAGAGGGGAAAGCTGGGTCCCAGCATGCAGGGTACAGAGGGCTGGGGGCTGGGGCAGTGACAGCAAAGGTACCCAGTGAGGTGAGACACAGGAGGGCGGGCCCAGGTGCACAGGTGGGCAGCTGCAGGCTCCTGGGGGCGGCGCCCTCCCTCAGCAGGGCCCTGGTACGGCCCCTCCCACCTGACACCAATTCGTTTGTTTCCTCAGAGGACCAGAGGGTGGCATTTACTTCACCACTTTAAAAAAATGGACTCGAGATGCAGCCCTGCTCGTGACCGTCACAACACGGAGAGAGGGACAGGCAATATGTTTACACTCCAGCAGGTGGGAATTGCGGACACAGCCAAATCCACATCAGATCGCACCTCACAGCGTCTAAAGGTGCAGAGAGCCAGCCTGTGTGACAAGGCAGGCTTAAGCTGCAGGAGACATCGCAGAACGGGGAAGCACAGCTGAAGACCACCTAACCCCTGCTCAGATGTGCTGCTCTGGCCGCCGCAGCCCAGCAGGCAGAAAGACAAGTAAGGGGAAAGTGGACACGTCCTGCGTGGGTGGGTGTGCTCTCCTCAGCGCTGCGAGGCTGTGAGAAAGGCCAGCGTACAACAGAAAACCACTTCTAGCTGACCTCGGTTCTTGGAAACTTGGAGCCAGATGCTGGCAACTGGCTCGCACGCAGGGGCAGGCCTGCTCCTGGAGCGGGCACGGAATTGGAGAGGCGGGACCGCTTAGCACGGAAAACAGCGAGTGCCAAGCAGGGAAGTGGGGAGAGAGCGTGCAGAGATTTGGGGAGTGGAGATAGATGAGGGTCAGGAAAACTTCTCATCCCCTGTCTGGCGCACCCTTCCTCACCCCCATCTCTGTGATGGGCCCTTGTTAAAATTTGGAACATGGGTGCCGTCAGAGTCCCTCCAGGCGGCCAGACTCCAGCACAGAATTTCACAGGCGCACTCTCCCCTCCGAAGGAACGGAAGGGATGGGAGGGAGTTTGGGATCACCTCTGGCCATGTGTGGTCCAAACCCACAGGTATCCAAACTAAGCATGCCCCGCACCCACCACGGGCGGTGCCGGCAGAATCTCTGCTGATGGGAAAGAGGAGGAAGGAGCTTCTGGCTAAAGAGCTCTCGCCCCCACACGGTCCGCACTCCGCGAGCTGCGGGGTGTCTCCCAAGCCCGACTTGTCCCCCTTTTTCCCAGCTCCGCCGACTTCTCGGACTCCCAGGACTTGGCCAGCGCCGCATGTGGCCATAGTGCTCCTTCTGCCCCAGCCTGGGGGTCCTTGGAGAAAGGGGTTCGCGGGAGGGTGCGTGGGGGAGGGAAGGGGCAGGATTTGGGGGAACTTGGAGGGGAGCAGTTCTGGCCGCCGCCGCCGGGCAGCAACATTCTCCGCAAAGTTTCCGGCTCTTCGGCCGGACAACCTCGTTAACAGGTGGGAGAAGGTGAAAGGCTGGGCGGGCGGCCCTGCGCCCTGCAGGGCGCCTGCTCCACGCGCTGCTGCCACCTGCCAGGGGGCGCTGGGAGCGCGGGGCCGGCGCTTGCAGCGGCGGGCGCCACCTGAGGGTCTCTCCCAGTCCCCTCCCCTGCCTGCCCTGCTGCGGCGGAGCCCGGGGCGCGGGGGTCGCCGAGTCTTACCCAGTCCTGGCACGAAAGTGTTGAGGAAGAGGCAGATGACGGCCACCGGGAAGGGCATGTAGGGGATGGCGGCGCGCAGGGGGCCCTTCTTCTCGCGGACCTGCACCACCACCCCGCTGGACGAGGACGCCCCCCGGGGGTCCGCTGCTGCCACCGCCGCTGCCGCCGTCTCGGCGTCTTTGTGCGAAGACTCCATGGCGGGGCGCGCTCCCCGGGAGCCGGGCTGCCGCAGCCCGGGCTGCTGCCCAGCACCCAGTGGGCAGGGGACGGCCGGCTCCGGGCTCCGGGCCCTGCGCCGAGCTCAGGCGGCCAGCGTGCTCCGGGTGCCCGCAGCTGGCAGGGAACCCGCACGCCCGCGTCCCCACGCGCCTGGCCCTCTGCCGCGCGCTCAGCTGCGCTCCCACACCCCCGGCTGAGGGGCGGAGAGGGCGGTGTGACACTTGGTGACAGCACTCCGACGCCCCTCCCCGCCGGGCCCCTTCCCCGCCCTTCTCTCCGCCCCCCACCCCACCCCCCTAAAAGTACCACTTACAAATCAGGGCGAAGGGAAGAAAGTGGAAGAGGAACACAGAGGGAGCCCGTTGTCCATCCAGATACTGGGAGGGATGGACATACTTCGCCCTCCCTAGACAGGTGACTTGGACGGTAACCTCCCCCAAGGACACAGAATTGGCCGAGTGTTCTCGGCTGGCAGGGTCGGCGAGAGGCTGGAGTTCCAGCCCTTTAATCTGGAAGAGGTACTGAACGTTAGGGAGAAGGAGACGAGGAAGGCAGGACGCCTGGTGCCTAGTAGGCCCTCGATTCATTCTGATGTAAAAGGTCTTGTTTTGTGGAGCCAAAGCAATCCCAGTCTCGGTTATAGAGCATAGAGCGGGAGACAGCTTTTCAAACAGGTCTCTGCTAGACATTGAAATGGGACCCTCCCCTACACGCAGGCAGAAAGCAAAAGGAAACGGGCCTGCTACCGGAGAGGTAAAGCTGGGCACCAACCCCTGAACCGTCTTGGAGGAAAACCTGGCTTCTGTGTGGGCTGGACGTGGTGCTTAAAAAGCCAGCGAGGACACAGCGCCGTCTGGTGTTGACAATGCAGCAGTTGGTAGAAGAGGAATCGGTCTAACCCGGTGGCAGCTGGAAGCCCCATATTGAACTAGATTTTGTGAATAATGCCGCCCTCACCTCCACATCTGGAGAAAGTCAACCCATGGAAGCAATGCCTTTCACTTTAGGGAGGGGTTCGATGCAACGGAATTATCCAGAAATTCAGCAGCTCCTGGGAAGATTGGAAGGATGTAAATCAACTTCCTTCCCAGTAATCCTCTTTCTCCAGGAGTAAGAATGATTGAATGGTAGCCCAGGGGCTCACAGGAAGGATGCCAGAAGATGATGGATTATTTTATGGGTGTCTGATTTAATAATTTTAAGAGCAGATAGTCAGCAGGGGTTCGTGGTGATACTGGTACACACATACACACACACACGTGCAATAACCAGCTTAGGTCTGGCAGTCAGAAATGAATAGGACTGAAAGTCTTAGTCTCTATTCAGCCTCCTGTGTGACGAAGAAGAACTCATTTAGCCTTTTCTGGGCTTGAGTTACTGTGTAAAAATCCAAGCGAGATTCAATTTACTACACATTTATTGAAGGCCTAATTCGACTTAGCTGCTGGGGAGAGAGAAAGGAGTCAAACTCAGCCCCTGCCTGTAAGGATCTGGCAGAGGAAGGCCACGAACAACCCCAGGGATAGAATTACAGTCAGTGACGGATGTGACTATGAGGAGCTGAAGGTGCTGAGAAAACAGGGACCTGTCTGCAAAGGCAGCTGGAGTGGGGGAGGCAGCAGGGTGGGCCTTCCAAGGAATGTGGTGCTGCTGAGTGAGACTTGAGCAGTGACTAGAGTTAACTCTTTGCAGGAGACTTGTTTTACAGAAACGCTATTTACCCAAGCACCATTCTAAGCACTTTACACGTGTTAATTCATTTGATCCTTACCACGGCTCTCTGAAGTATTACGTATTACCCCATTTCACAGATGGGGGTGACGGAGCCCAGAGCATCTAAGGAACTTGCTACAAAGTCACCCACTAGTAAGTGACAGAGCTGGCATTTGCATGCTGGCAATCTGGCTCCGGAATCTATCTAGCTATTCAGAGACCTAGGTCGTAACCCTAATTTCTAAAATATTCTCTCACAGAGCCTCCGAACTGTCGGAGGGCCACACAGACTCAATGATTCCAGGAAGGAAGGACTTCAGGGAAGGAAGTAGATTTACATGCCCCGATTTTCCAGGTGGTTCTGACCTGGAGGTTCAAAAGACATCCAGGCAGAGCAGCAGCATGTACAACGGCATGGAAGCCTGGACTAGGGAACATTCCAGGAATGGCAGCATGGCTGGGACCAGGGCTCATGTGCACAGGGACAGCAGAGGGCGCTGGGGGGCGTGGGGCAGGAGCCGAGTAATGAAGGGCAAAGGAACTGGACTCTACTTTTGTGGGGACATGGAGAATCTTTGAAATACTCTAAGCAGGGGTGTAGCATAAGTGGTCCAGTCACTACTGTGCGCTCTGTAACAAACTACCTAAAATTTAGTGGCTTGGCCCAACCGCTTTGTGGGTCTGGAAAAGGGACGGCGCACATCTGAGGCAGCTCCTCTTTGCTCCTTCACCTCTGGAGACTCAGCTGCAAAGGCTCGAATGGCGGTGGCCACAACAGCTGGGGTGGGAGACTTCACTTCCGAAGTCATTACCAGGTCTGGTGCCTGCCCTGGATAACTTGAAAGCCGGCTCAACTGGGACTGTCGGCCAGAGCGCCTACCCACGGCCTCTCCGTGTGACTTGGACTTTTCCCTACGTGGTGACAGGGTTCTGAGAGGAAACTTCCCCAGAGGGGGCCCCAGGACCCCCACTGCCAGCCTTGCAAGACCATGGAAGTCACGCAGTGTCATTTCTGTGATCTCTATTTGGTTGAAGCAGTTGCAAACCTTGCTCAGATTCAAGCGGAGGACACTTCTCAATGGAGCAATATCAAAGAATTTGGACCCTGCCTTTAAAACCACCATAAAAGGGATGTGGTTTGCGAGGGGAAGCCACTCAGTCAACCGTGGGGAGGATGCACCAGAGCGGGTAGAGTTGGGTCCCACAAGAGGGAGACTCTGCCTGGCCCACATGGATGAGGAATGGGGGAGGGATACTTCCCCAATGAAAACCGGATATTATTAGTGAGGAGCAAAGGTGGAGTCTGAGAGTTCAGGGACATCCAAGGGGTGGCAGGCAGAGGCTGGCCAGCATAGGCAATTGCCTAGAAGAAGCTGGAGAGTCAGTCTGCTTGGGGTTTAGTAAAGAAATCTGGGTTGCAGATTTGGGAGCCATTGGCACACAAATGGTAGCGAAAGCCCTGCACACAAATGTGCGATAAAGAGACTTGAGGGCCCAGGAGAGTCCCCAGAGGGTGCTGTAAATTAGACACGAAGGAGGAGGGACAAAGAGGTTTAAAAGGAAGCGCGCTGAGAGTGTTTCATGGAGCCAGAAGGGGAAGGCTTTAAGAAGCAGCAGTCAGCAGTGTCAAATGCCACAGAGAAGCCACATGAGACCCCAAAGTGCCCACTGGACTTGGCACTTAAGAGCATCAGCTCTCTGTAGTCCCGGTGCAGAAGTCTCACCGTGTCCGTTTTCGAGGCATTTATCCATTTGGTTGAAGTTGTCGGTTCTGTTGCCATAACATCAGTCATAATAGACTCCAATTATCTTTTTAAAACCTATCACGTCCGTCACAATGCCTCCTCTTTCAGCCCTGGTATTGTTCGTTCAGGCTTTCTCTCTTTCCTTGGCCACTCTTGCAAGGAGTTTATACCACATCCATTTGACATTGCGACCGTGGCTGATATTTGAAGGGGAGACTAAGATCTAAGCCATTTCAGGTGGGAAGAGACCTCCGAATAGTAGTTAAAATCTTAAAAACTAATCCCCCCCCTCAGTCAGACACAAACATGACAGGGGAAAACAGACCGAACAGTCGATTACATCAGCCAAACAACACATGTAAGCCAGGCATCGGGACATGAAAATAAAGTCTGTTTATCCTGCTGTTGTTCTGTCAGCAGCCAAACAAAGTACCTCAGCTTTGGACCTTTTTTAGCTGGAAAAAAAATAATAATTGTGTTACAGTCAGCTTCCAAACTGTAAAAGCAACTCATATACCGACAGGGATTGCTCCTTTAGGCAGGCTGGCGCTAAAGAATCGGCAGTAGAAAGACAGACTTTGCTGAAAGCACTGTGTCTCTGAATAATTTCTTCACCTCTGGGAGCCTCAGTCTCCAAAACTGGCGGCAATGTCGACCTTGTTTACATATACATAAGGATTAAGTGAAATATCGTGTGAAAGACACTCAATAAATGGCAACTGAGTCAGGAGGCTTTTCATCCCAAGTGACAGAAACCCAACCCAAAACTACCTTATGCAGAAAAAAGGGAAGCTATAGATGTGACGGGTTTTGATGTAGCAACTTGTCAAGGCTGAATGACAGTCCCCAGGGTCCCCTTCCTAATCTATTTTTTCTTAGGGTGGGCTGCAGGTGATAATCTCCCTCAAGAGCTGATGGATGGAAGGGAGGCAGTGGTTGTCTTGTAGCTGATGTGCACTTTCTCAGAGGTATTCCATCCAATACTAACCTAGGTGCTTCAGGAAGGAATTCTTCAGATGTGATTAAGGTCCCTAATCAGTTGATTTTAAGTTAATCAATGGCAGATTATCATGGGTGGGTCCGATTTACTCAGTTAGAACTCAGCCTTACTCAGCTCGACTTTAGAGCAGGCGTGGCCGTCTCCAGGGGGACAGGCCAAGTAGCTGCTCGACTAACCATTGTTCTTTCCCTCTGGACCCTCCTTTCTGGCTGCAACCTGGGACCATCAAGTGTCAGCTCTCGCCACGGGTTTGCAGCCTGCCCCTGACCCTGTAACAGGATGAAACTGCCCATACTTCTAACCCCTGTGACCCTTGCCTCCCCTTCCAGCCAGCTGCCCACTCGCAGGGCTCATCCTGGACCTCGCTTTCATTCCCAGACCTGCTCCTCGCCCAAAATCTTTACTCCCAGCCAACGCTTCAGGGCCAGCTCCCAGGGTTACTGTTAAACAATCTTGCTCCTTGCCCTACACAGTCTGTAAGGACCAAGGGAAGAATTATTACCGCACTGAATTTAGATAGAGTGTTGGTGATCCGGGAAAAACATGTCCTGATGAGCTCTAGAAGGCCAGGGAGGAGACGACTGTCTCCTTGAGTCCCACAGCGGACACTCAGACGGAGGCTTCACCTTGGCAACTCCCAGTTCTTAGGCGAGCGGCTGCACGTTTTTTCTGATGTTGGTGAGGC